CCAATGAAAGAAGTGTGGACTTCAACTCCCAGAATTCCCCAACTCCCAGCACGTGGGCTGAAGGATTCTGGAAGTTGAAGTTTGAAAAATGCTGTTCTAGGAGGAAGCGAAAACACTGATGGATCCCCGATGCCTTGTTTGCCATTGAGTTGTATGCAGAGGTTGTATTCAGCCAGGTTCTGGAGAACCAGAGTGGGAATTTTGAGAGTGAGGAGGGATTGGGGATTTTGCAGTATCCTTCTCTTGCCACGCCCACAAAGCCATGCCCACAGAACCTGTAGTAAAAATGTTTGAATTCCACCACTGGTTGTATATATCAGGAGGCTGTGAGTTCGCTTTAGGTAGAGACAGATATTTCTCTCTCTCTGGGCACAATGAGAATGTATCTGCTGAACAAAAACTCCGCACTGGCGACAGGAAGGGCACCCGGCCACTTATTTAGGGTAAGGAGGAGGAGAAGAGAGGGGGCGGTGGGAAAGAGAGGGGAAGAAGAAAGGAGGAAGGCTGAGGAGGGAAAGGAAGAAAGGATAACACAGACGAAGTAAGGGTGGGGAATTAAGAGTAAGAGAGAGGGTAAAAAGAAGGAGAAGGGAGGAGGAGTGGGGGAAAGAGAGGGGAAGAAGAATGAAGGAAGGATGAGGAGGGAAAGGAAGAAAGGGTAAAGCAGAGGACATAAGGGAGGGGAATTAAGAGTAGGAGAGAGGGTAAAAAGAAGGAGAAGGGAGGAGGAGTGGGGGAAAGAGAGGGGAAGAAGAAAGGAGGAAGGCTGAGGAGGGAAAGGAAGAAAGGATAACACAGACGAAGTAAGGGTGGGGAATTAAGAGTAAGAGAGAGGGTAAAAAGAAGGAGAAGGGAGGAGGAGTGGGGGAAAGAGAGGGGAAGAAGAATGAAGGAAGGATGAGGAGGGAAAGGAAGAAAGGGTAACGCAGAGGAAGAGAAGGAAGGAAGAGTGGGGGAAAGAGAGGGGAAAGTGGAGAAGAAGAAAGGAAGGATGAGGAGGGAAAGGAAGAAAGGGTAAAGCAGAGGACATAAGGGAATGGAATATAGGATAGGATAGGATAGAATAGAATAGAAGAATGGAAATGAAAATGGAAAGGAATGGAATAGAATAAGATAGGATAGGATAGGATAGAATAGAATAAGAATAGAACAGAACAGAATAGAATAGAATAGAATAATGGAAAGGAATGGAATGGAATATAGGATAGGATAGGATAGGATAATGGAAATGGAATGGGATAGAATGAGAATGAGAATAGAATAGAATAGAATAATGGAAATGAAAATGGAAAGGAATGGAATAGAATAAGATAGGATAGGATAGAATAAGAATAGAACAGAACAGAACGGAATAGAATAGAATAGAATAATGGAAAGGAATGGAATGGAATATAGGATAGGATAGGATAATGGAAATGGAAAGGAAAGGAATGGAATGGAATGGAATATAGGATAGGTTAGGATAGAATAGAATAGAATAATGGAAACGGGATAGGATAGGATAGGATAGAATAGAATAGAATTCTTTATTAGCCAAGTGTGATTGGACACACAAGGAATTTGTCTTTGGTGCAGATGCTCTCAATGTACAGAAGGAGAATAAAAATGCATTCATCAAGAATAAAAAGATACAACCCTTAGTGATATCAAATTAGTTCCAAATATTTTCCCTGTGCCCCTAGAAGCATTCTAGAATAGAATAGAATAATGGAATAAAGAATCAGGAATAGAACAGAAAAGAACAGAATAGAATAAAGTAATGGAAATGGAATGGAATGGAACAGAATAGAACAGAGTAGGACAGAACAGAATAAAGAATCAGGAATAGAATAGAATAGAATATATATATGAGGAAAGGTTGACCATTCGTCATCCAAGCTAATTCTTGCACTGGCTGGTCCCAAGGATTTAACAGTTCGTTTATAATCTTTCCTAATCCTGAGTCAGATTAGTGAAAGAGCCACAATCTTTGGCACAGGATGGGTGGAACGTTGCATCAGCCTTCAAAGGAGACGGAGTGGAGCCGTAATCAAAGGAGAATCCCTGGGTTTAAAAATCAAAACAATCACACATCACATCAAAGGCTCCTTGCCTCCCACTCACTCCTCTTCTACCAGAACCATTTTTGAAGGGGCACGGAATTTGCAGAAAATCACTTTGGAATTGCACTTCCAGACCCAATCTGAATTGGGATTCCTAATGAAGCTCTGGATGTGAATCCGGACTGGAAGCGTTCGTGAGAAAAAAATGCAGAGAAGAGCAACCCTGATGATGAGGGGACTGGAGGCTAGAACATACGATGAATGGTTGCAGGAACTGGGCCTGGCTAGTCTAGTGGAGAGAAGCACCAGGGGTGACAGGATAGAAGTCTTCCAATATTTGAGGGGCTGCCACAGAGAGGAAGCGGTCAAGCTATTTTTCAAAACACCTGAAGGCCAGACAAGGAACAATGGATGGAAACTAGTCAAGGAGAGATTCAACCTGGAAATAAGGAAGAACTTTCTGACAGTGAGAGCAATCAACCCACGGAACAGAAGTTGCCTTCAGAAGTTGTGGGAGCTTCATCACTGGAAGCT